TGGTGCGATCTCGGTTCACTGCAACCTCCACCCCCCGGGTTCAAACAATTCTCTTGCCTCAGTCTCCTGAGTAGCTGGAACTACAGGTTCCCGCCACCACGCTGGCCTAATTTTTTTTTTTTTTTTTTTTTTTTTTGCTATTTTTAGTAGGGACAGAGTTTCACCATATTTGCCAGGCTGGTCTTGAACTCCTGACCTTGTGCTCCACCCACCTCGGCCTCCCAAAGTATTGGGATTACACATGTGAGCCACTGTGCCCTGCCTAAATCCACTTTCTTTAAACAATCCCCATAACCCTGATTTATTCATCTCACCTCAGTCTCTACCTCCATTTTTTTTTTTTTTTTTTTTTTTTTGGTCTCAGATGGGTCACTCACAGCTTCTAGATACATATAAAATATACTACAAAACTACTTAAAATGATTCGGGGGTTCAAAGCCCCTCTCCGTTTTGGCTATATTTGGCCATTTAAACATTAAGGTAGTGATGGTTGTACCCACCACCAAATTTAATGTGAACCCGGGCAGAGATTTGAAGCTCCAGCGGGGCAAACATATTTTCCATATATTTGTGGAAAGGATGAGAAGTCTAGAAAAAAGACAAATCTCACAGAAGCATGACTGTTGTATTTCCTTTCAATTCTGCCTCAGACCCCTTCTTCTGAAGCTTAGATGCACGATCATGAAACTCTAGCCTGGGCTCCATCTTTGAGACAGATGTACTATGTTTGTTTGCTTGTTTGTTTGTTATTGTTTTGACAACACCCTCATGAAAATGCATCTTGCAAATAGAAGTTCATCCAGACAAGTTTCCATTTTCACTTGCTAGTGTTTTCAGTTAAAATTGTTAGATAATTGTACAGACAAACTTGAACCATTAGGGCAGGAGATGCTACATGTGATACTTGAAATCCTCCTTGATCAGCAAATATATGAAAATGTGAAAGCGAATGAGAAAATGTCAGTGTAGAGGGTATGCAAGGTCATGTGCAAAAGTCTAAAGTACCCAAGCTGAAGATCACCTGTACTCTGCTCCTTGGAGTTCAAACCCAGACACCCCTCACTAGGTGCATGCCCTGGAGCAAGGCTTCCTCTGTACCGTCAGTGGTGGAATGAAGACACCCATAGCGGCTGCTTCACAGGGTTGATGAGAGGATCAAATGAGACAATGTCTGCAGGAACACGTGATAAAGCTGTTATTGCCATGAAGTACAGCAAAGGACAAAGGAAAAGGACTATGTCATTTCTTGAGTCCTTGGCACTGGACGTGATGCACATCCTTGGGTGGGTGGAGAAGTCAGGGAAGCTGGTCTTGCTGATAAAGAGATACAAAATTCTGGGCCGGGTGCAGTGGCTCACGCCTTTAATCCTAGCACTTTGGGAAGCCGACATAGGCAGATCATGAGTTCAGGAGATGGAGACCATCCTGGCTAACATGGTGAGACCCAATCTCTACTAAAAAATACAAAAAATTAGCCGGGCGTGGTGGCAGGCGCCTGTAGTCCCAGCTACTCACGAGGCTGAGGCAGGAGAATGGCATGAACCGGGGAGGCGGAGCTTGCAGTGAGCCGAGATCGTGCCACTGCACTCCAGCCTGGGTGACAGAGCAAGACTCCATCTCAAAAAGAAAAAAAAGAAAGGAGAGATACAAAATTCCTTTGGTTTTGGCAGTCATAATAAAATTCTGTGTTTACTGAAGTGTCTCAATGTCATATTTAAAATTTTTCATAGCTGATATAATATACAAAATTACAAATTGACAACAATATATTTATCATTCATACACACACATATTCCCTTGATGTATGTGCATATATATATGTGTGTGTGTGTATATATATGTATATTTTCCATTTTATAGTTGTAAACAGATCCCTAATTTCTCATTTTGGTTCACCCAGTATCTTAATGCTCAGGCCCTGGCCATTTCGTTTTTCTAAAAATAGATGTGTTTTTCTACTTTGGCATTCCTCTTATTTTTTATTTATGAGAAAACAACAAGACAGTGGACCTATTTTTTTCCCTCCTGGATGGCCAGAGGTAACGATTCTTTGCTCATTTTCTTTGTTCCTGAATTGCCTGTGTCTAAAATAATTGGTGCCCAACTTCCTGCTCCTCCTCCCTCTTCTCCTCACTCCACTTGCAGATCCCAGGGCTGCCAGGGCTGCACTGAGCTCCGTGCCCACAGGAGACAGGAGAGTGTGAGAGAGAGCAGTCACAGTTCCTAGGAGGCCCCTGTGGACTCCCAGTTGCTGCCTGCTCCCAGGAGCTCACATTTCCCAAACTGAGGATGGTCCTGGGATGTGGCCAAGTCCCTTGTAGAGGCAACTGCTCCCTGGGAACCACCATCATGCTCCTATTCCAAACCCTGCTGGGGCACACTGTCAGCACTGAAGAGGGTGGAAAAATTCCATCTTTCTGAATCCCTTTCAGTTCCAGGTCTCCCACTGGGGTGCCTGAAGAGTGGGAGGAAGGAGATAAAGAGAGCGCACCAGCCAGAGTGGTGCATCTCCATCCTGGGGTCGCGTTGTTGCTGTTTCCTGTGGACTGCCCCAGGGGACCCAGGTTGGAACTTATGGAAAATAGCAGGGGTTCAGTTTGGTGGTAGCAAAAAGTGTGTAACAAGGAGGTGGGGGTGAAGCTATGGGGGGTGGTGAATGGGCAGAGTCACGTAGGGCAGGAGATGCCAGGGAGAATTTGTGCTTGATTTGACTGGAAAAGGAAGAGATTGTTGTTAATTTTTTTGATCACTAAAATAATATATGAAGAGAATTCAAATTTAAATGAAGAGAATTTGGAAATGAATGTGTACATATAGAAAAACAGAGGGTACAAGGTTTCAGTTGGGTAGGAAGAGTAAGTTCAGCATGGGGATTACAGGTAATGATACTCTATTGTATAGTTGACATTTGCTAAGAGGGTAGCTCTTAGGTCATCTCACTACACATGAAAAATGGTAACTATATGAAGAGATGGACAGATTTATTAGCTTGACTGTAGTAATAAGTTTACTATGTGTATTTATATCCAAACCTCATGATATACATTTCATATGGTTTGGCTGTGTCCCCACGCAAATCTCATCTTGAATTATAGTTCCCATAATCCCCGCATGTTGTGGGAGGGACCCAATGGGAGGTAATTGAATCATGGGGGCAGTTACCTCCATGCTGTTTTCGTGATAGAGAGTGAGTTCTCACGAGATCTGATGGTTTTATAAGGGGCTTTTTCACTCCTGTGCTCTGCACTTCTCCTTGCTGCTGCCATGTGAAGAAGGACGTGTTTGCTCCCCTTTCCCCCTTCTGCCATGATCATAGGTTTCCTGAAGCCTCCCCAGCCATGCCAAACTGTGTTTTTATTATAAATTTTTCTTTTATATTTTTTCTTTATAAATTTTTCGTTATAAATTACCCAGTCTTGGGTGTGTCCTTACAGCAGCATGAGAACAAACTAATACAACAGTTTAAATATATATAATTTCAATACAAGATTTTTAAAAAGTAAATTCCTATAATGCATACCCAGATATAGCCATTGTTAATATTTTAAAATGCATCTTTTTACTCTTTTTCTGGATGAAGATAGATGGCTAGCTAGTTTGATTGATTTTGAAAGTAATTATAAATGAAATCTCATTGTTAAGGATTATTTTTATTTATTTATTTTTGAGATAGAGTGTCACTCTTGTTGCCTAGGCTGGAGTGCAATGGCATGATCTCAGCTCACTGCAACCTCCACCTCCTAGATTCAAGCGATTCTCCTGCCTCAGCCTCCTGGGTAGCTGGGATTACAGGTGCGTGCCACCACACTCGGCTAATTTTGTATTTTTAGTTGAGAAGGGGTTTCTTCATGTTGGCCACGATGGTCTCAAACTCCCAACCTCAGATGATCTGTCCGCCTCAGCCTCCCAATATGCTAGGATTACAGGTGTGAGCCACAATGCCCAGCCTTGTTACAGATGATTAAAAACAGTTGATTGACACAATAACTTAAGAAAATAAAATATAATAGCAGTACGGTGCATGGATAGGTTGGTGATTGAGCAATCTACCAATAAAAAAAAATTAAGAATGTTATTGCAATGGTTAAGAGGAAACAGATCCTTGAACTTGGGTGGTGGCTATGGATAAACAAAGGAAGGCTAGATTCTTCCAGTTTCCAGCCTAGATGACTGGGGAATTGGGAGCCATAAACATGGCCTTTGTGGGAGGGGAGGACTACGTGTGTATCTTTAGATGTGTTGAATGTGTGGTGGTGGTCAATCTAGTGGTTAGAGATGTGGGCTGGGACTTAGAGGAGGACAAAATCCAGATTTGAAATTCATTTGCATTTTAAAGATTGCTTTGGTTAAAGTATATGAGATTTCTGAAGGAGAAAAAAGAGAATTTTTAAAAACACAGATAAGAAAAGAAATGTGGGGACATCCGTGTTTAGAAAATGGCAGAAAGACAGGGAGCTAGAGAAGGCAGACAAGGGAACCCAGGATGGTAGGAGAAATTCGAGAGTGCAGGGTCCTTGCAGTCAAGGGTGGAAGTGACTTCAAAAATGGGTTATTTGTGGCCTCAAATGTTATAGAGAAGAAAAAGAGGATGATGATTCAGCAAAAAAGATGGAAGGAAATAATGTAAAGTATCTAGCACACTTTCTGGCACAGGGAAAGAACAGTAAATATCAGCTATTATTTGAACAACAGACCATTAGATTTGGCAGTTAGAAAGTGCTTACCCCTTCATCCTCAGACCCAGTCAAATGTCTTGCACAGAGTTGGAGCTTATTAAGTGTGTTTTACAATATAATCAGTGAGTAGAAGACAGAAGAGGAAGAGCTTAAGAGTGGTGATAATGTAGAGGTGGCCAAGTCATAAATCTGCTCATCCTGCCTTTTGGGAATGTGTGTTCTGGGGTCCACTGTGCACACAGGCTGGTGTGCTTGGGGAGCCAGGTCAGCACTATGGGGACCTGATTGAGAAAGAGGTTGATGGCAATCTCCTGCTAACATTTCTCAACCCCTCACAGGTGTCACATAGAATGGGCATCAAGTGCAGTGGGTAACTATAGCATTGTCACGGAGTTTGTGCTCCTGGGATTTTCTCATCTCCATGAGTTCCAGGTCCTGCTGTTTGTTCTGATCCTGTTGGTATATGTGCTGACACTGCTGGGCAACCTGGCCATCATCAGCCTCACTTGCCTTGACTCCCACCTTCACTTACCCATGTACTTCTTCCTCTGCGACTTGTCCCTCATGGAGATGCTGGTCACCTCCACTGTGGTACCTAGGATGCTGGCAGACCTGCTATCCACTCACAAGACGATGTCTCTGGCTGAATGCCTAATCCAGTCTTTCTTTTACTTCTCCCTGGGCTCTGCCAACTTCTTGATCCTCACGGTCATGGTCTTTGATCACTACATGGCCATCTGCCGCCCCCTGCACTACCCAACCATCATGAATGGTTCAGCGTGTGTGAAGCTGGTGGTGGCCTGTTGGGTGGTTGGTTTCCTCTCCATTGTCTCTCCCACACTGCAGAAAATACAGCTCTGGTTCTGTGGCCCTAACATCGTCGACAACTACTTCTGTGACTCTGCCCCGCTGCTCAAGCTTGCCTGCTCTGACACCCACCATATTGAACGCATGGTTCTCTTCCTGTCCCTGCTCTTTGTGCTGACCACCATGCTGCTCATCATCCTCTCCTACGTCCTCATTGTGGCTGCAGTGCTGCACATCCCCTCCTCCTCTGGGCGCCAGAAGGCCTTCTCCACCTGTGCCTCTAACCTCACAGTGGTGGTGCTGGGCTATGGCAGTGCCATCTTCATCTACATGAGGCCAGGCAAGGGCCACTCCACACACCTCAACAAGGTGGTGGCCCTGGTGACTGCAGTGGTAACTTCTTTCCTCAACCCCTTCATCTTTACCTTCCAGAATGAAAAGGTCAAGGAGGTCATTGAGGATGTGACCAAAAGGATCTTCCTTAGAGACCCAGCAGCCTGTAGGTGAAAGAGTGAGCCCTTGACAGGGCTGGAGAGCACCTGACAACTCATGAGGAGTAGACTTGCTGCAGGTGGGCACCCACATGCCTAAGCTGGAGCTCCTCACTCTCTTTTTTTCTCAGTTTCTCCTGCTCTCTCATCTTCATGCAAGTTTCTTCTCTTGCACTGCAGAGAACTAATGGACACACACTGTTAGAATGTCTCAAAGGCAAGTTTCTGTGTGTCTGAGATAGTTAAAGAATGGATAGGGAATGTGGAGTGAGTACAATGGGACGATATTAATTAAAAGAGATAATCCAAACAAGTAAGACTCTTAGTGCAGGGTCTAGTACATTAAGTAAGAGCTCAGTAAATGTAGCTATTATTAAAATGTCCTATTAAAACCTCTCTTTCTCAGCTCTATGGTTTTGCTTGCATTCTTTTAAGTTTGTGTTCAACTTTTATTTTGGGTATGTTTCCTTTTCAGGACCTGGCTTCAAGGTCTAGGATAGAGTTCTGAAAATGGGAGGTGTTCTAAGAAGAGCAGAGAGGCCTGGCACCCCAACGCAGGAGGAGCCATGTGCCTCTGTTGGCTCTCCTCTCTCGGCCTGACTGCTCCTGGATGGAAGCACCCCCCACACCCAGGCTGCCCACTTCTTCCATCTGGCCCCAAAGCCTCTTGCCTTTCCACAGAAATGGCTCTCAGGGAGCCACTCCTCCAACCCTCTTATAGAAAGTCATGAAGGCCTTACCTTTTTCATGCACATGAGAGTGGGGAAAAGCTGAGCTGCATCCACACTCTCAGACTTGCTGCCTTGCCCTTCCCATGGGCCACTACTTCCCTTCTACTGTAGAACCTTAGATCCAAGTTCCAGAAAGAGGACCAGTTGCCCAGGCCTTCTGAGGTTGGGTTTCCTGAGAGCAGCCTGGCCAGATTACCAGGGCCCCTGGATGGTAGAAGCAAATATGGTAGAAGTCAGATGAGAAGGAGTAAATGGAGTGTGACTGGTATTGTGGGTAACGGGATGGGAGGGCTGATAAGAGGCATTCCTTGGAAATCTGGATGGTGTGGGAAGTCACGGGAAGATGGTAGCGGCAGGAAGAGCTCCGGGTCTGATTTCTTTTACTAGACTGAGTCTCAACTGGGCTGGGCTAGGATTGGCAAAGTGGGGCAAAGAGTAGATGCAAACTTCCTCTCATTTCTGAAGCTGGCTCTGTCCACAGGATCCTTAGAGGAGAGGCCCTGCTCATAATTTGCAGTGTGGAGTCACAGGATGGGAGCTGCCCCACAGGGCCAAGACTATGAAGAATGGTTGTAGGGGAAGCATTCCAGGACACAGAGCCTGGAGGCACCACTGTCTTACTGTCTCTGTCATTTAGCTTGATCTCTAACATATATGTTTTTTTTTTTTTTCAACCACCACAGTACATTTTTGCATTTGTGGGCCTTGCCAAAAGTGGACAGATACTTCTGATTCTGCTGTAAAGACCAGCAGGGAGAAGTTTTTCATCCTGAGAACTTGTCTCTTTCACCTCTCAAGAGACTAATTACTTGCCCTCCTTGCAAACTTCCTGAAAAACTGAAGAGCTAAGTGGAAAGTAATTACCTCCTTCTGAGATGCAGATACTTTTCCTGAGCTTCTCCTCCTAAAATAATCAGCACAGGAGTCACTCAGTGTCCTCCCCAGGGACTCCTTCCTGCTACTCTCTTTTCTCTGCACATTCCCCTCTTAAAAAACTAAAAATAATCAATAGCCTGTAGCAGGCTATCGCCTGTTTTTCATAGGATTTCCTTGGAAGTGGGGTCTCTGGTCAGTTTTGGGGAAGGTATGACTAGCCTTGGGCCTTCACAGCAATCACCCCAGGGAATCTAGCATCACGCAACCTGACTTGCCCCACAGCCTTGCCTGTGGTTCTTTGCTCTTCAAAGTGTGATGCTTGAAACAGCACTGGCATCTCCTGGGAGCTTATTGGAGATGCAGAATCTCAGGTCCCACCTGATACCTCCTAAATCAGAATCTGCATTTTTGTAGGATCCCCAGGTGATTCCTATGCACATTAATATCTGAGTAACGCGGATCTAAACAATTTGCTGGTAGAATTTTCAAACAGAAAATTGTATAAGAAAGCCCTTGTTCCAATCTCAACAATGTGAAAGGCATTGGAAGAGGGAATCTGGGGACACATTTGCTATTATTGGAGCCATCTTTCCTTGGTGACCTTTATCCCAGGTCCCATTTCCAGAGACAGTAGTAACCAGGATAAAGACCCTGAAGACTCTCATCCTAGTCTGACTTTAAACTTCTTGAGTGACTTCAATCAATGGCCCAGCCTCTGACTCACTGTTAGAATTCTATGTGGATGTGACCTAGAGATGTCTAGATATATTGGTTCCAGACATTTGTCTTAATGTGGCAGGGTTGTCAATGTGCATAATGTCAAATGAGACTCCTGGATAGATAGAAATGAAAAAATAATTTTTAAAAAATCTTGCAACTTGCTGGGAGAAATCTTGGGATTCTGGTTCCAAATCAAAGTAGCTGCTATAAAAGGCTCCCCAGGTTTAAGACATGATGTAAGTAAAACACAGCCTCATGGAATTGCAAGGGAGTAGGTCATGTAGGCCTACCTTCCTCTGTCTCGGTGCAGGCATCCCCACTGCAGCACACTGAGCAGACTGGCTTAGGGACTCTGCTTGAACCAAGTCCAGGGATGGAGCATGCCCAGCTGTGGGAGGCAGCCCCTTTCTTCACTGCATGGTTCTAGATTTTAAGGAGAAATCCTTATGTCAAACCTCAATATGACTTCCTCTAACCTTCACCCATTGTCCCAGTTCTGCCTTTTTCAGTTATGCAGGCAGACTAGCAGGTAAGCAAAGATATCTACGCATTCCCCTCAAAAATATTCAGGTTTACAAATAGGAGGTTGCATCAAACCGTTTCTAGAACTCTTGCCTTCCATATGCTTTTTTTGGTTCCTGTCAGGCGCATCTTGGAACTGATTGTGGTACTAGTTTAGACAACTAACTGAGATGTAGAGCAGTGGGAAACCTTTTCTCTTGCTCTGTTGACTATATTTCTTACCATCAACTAAGATGGCATTCCATGTTTAGGTTATCGTGCTAACTCATGTTCCAAATTCATATAAACCTCATGATTAATGACAGCTAGCATTTATTGAACACCTACTATATTCTAGGTACAGGAAAAACAAAGATCTATAAGGCACGACACCTAACATAAGGAGCTCAGAACCCACATATAGACAAAACTACATTGAACCAAGTCCAGAGATGGACCATTCCCAGCTGTGGGAGGAAGCCCCTTTCTTCACTGCATGGTTCTAAATCTTAAGAAGAAATCCTTATGTCAAACCTCAGTGTGACTTCCTCTGAGTTCCTGAAGGCAAAGCTCTCAGGGAATGCCCCATTTCTTTTGATTAAGTTAAAAGTTAAGTTGAAATGACTTTTTGAGGTCCAAAGAACAGTTTTATAGGCTGAGAAGAGGAAAAGTGAATTCCTGAGAGAGGCAACTGAGTGTGTAAAATAACATAGACATAAAATGGTATATTGTGTAGACAACCAAAGCCTAAAAAGACAGGATTAATGAGTGGGTTTCTGGAGACTGGCCATGGGTATCATCAGTAATCAGACCCAAGTCCCCCAGTGGACCTGTAAGTGCCCTCTGCAAGATGCTCCACTCACTGAAATAACGGCATATTTGATTACAACAAACTTCAGTGTGCACATCAGTGTAGAAATCTCTGCTTGCCTAGGGCAATCATATTGTAGTTACCAAAGGTGCTATTTACCTTCAGCGCTGAAACTGTATTGCCTTTAATTTTGCAAATAACCTAAGTAAGTTCAGAGAGCTCAGCTTTTCTGAAATGCTTGATTTCCCTCTCTGCCAGCAGCTGAATTAGTCACGTGTTATATCCCTTTAAGGCTGATTTGCTCAGGTCCTCCAACAAAAGGGAGGCATGGGGATGAGACTGAGAATGGGAGGATCTGCCTTCTGCGTCTGTGAAGGAGGGGGAAGGAAATCTGTGGTGTCCCCTCTCCTTAGATCACAGCCAACTTCCTCCATGACAAGGACAAGGCCCTCATATACAGTCCTTTGGATTCACCCCTAGGGCTGGGTAACCCAAGAACTTCTGGGTGAGTTGTCCACTGAGTGAGAGAAGCACAAATGTGAGTGATGAGCTGCCCAGCTGCTAGTGAAGAAGCCGGGTCCCCTTATATATGGAGGATCCTGTGTCTATCAGATAAAATAATTTGTAAGTTCCCTTATAAGGGCGATGCCATGAGCTTTACCTCCATAGGACTTGGCAGGTGTCTAACTCAAGTGAAGGAGAATGACAGCAATGCAGCGCTGACTGGGGAGCAGGATCTAAGGGAAACCCAGAGGTAGGGGGCTAGTGATGTTCTGGAGCCCCCTGGAGAACCCATAGTGGGGCATTGTAACAAGGTTCCTGAGAATGTGGAAAGGGCTTTAGAATTGGCTAACTGGCAGAGGCTGGAATGGTTTGGAGGGCTCAGAAGAAGACAGGAAGGCATGGGAAAGTTTGGAACTTCCTAGAGACTTGTTGAATGGTTTTGACCAAAATACTGATAGTGATATGGACAATGAAGTCCAGGCTGAGGTGGTCTCAGCTGGAGATGAGGACCCGAATGCTGGTAGCCAAGGCAATGGGGAAAATGTTTCCAGGGCATGTCAGAGACCTTCACAGCAGCCCCTCTCATCAAAGGCCCAGAGGCCTAGGAGGGAAAAATAGTTCGTGGGCCAGGCCCAGGGCCCCACTGCTCTGTGCAGCCTCAGGACTTGGTGCCCTATGTCCCAGCCACTCCAGCTCCAGTCGTGGCTAAAAGGAAAAAAGGTACAGCTCAGGTCTTTGCTTCAGAGGGTGCAAGCCCCAAGCATTGGCAGCTTCCACGTGGTGTGCAGAAGACAAGAGTTAAGCTTTGGGAACCTCTGCCTAGATTTCAGAGGATGTATGGAAATGCCTGGAAATCGATCGTTAAATTGGCAGGAATTAAACACAGCCATGATAAAAAAAAAAGTAGATAACAGAAACTCATAATCAAATAAGTTATGCTAAAAACAAAGGTGATTCATATTAAAAACTCCTCGTTGCTTTGCTACATTGTACTTTTGTCCATGAGACTGAGGTTATTTAGGCCACGTGTCTCAGTGTGGTGGAAATACTGTATGGGGCAGTACGACGGGGCATCTTTCCCTAACTCCAACTTCAGATGCCATCTTGGTAGCTTAAAATTGGACACGGTGAAAATATTGACAGCAGGAAGCTGGCAAATGCTAGAAGTCAGCAAATGGAGAGCTGGGGCTAAACATTTACCAGCAGACCACTGAGCCACGATCACCATTCCTCAGTACCTGTCAGGCATTGTTGAAGAAACATATGTACATCAGAAAACCTAGGGCTGAAAGAATTAGTGAATCAGACCGATATAAATCTAGTCCACTATAGTCAACACTGACCTTTTCTTAGTTTGACCCAGAGGGTTTTTCACCTCACCAAACTCCTAAAATCCCACCCGTGCAGGGTCTTGATGTTACTACCAACCACCGCAAGATCCAGGCCTGACTTTCCTTTGGAAAGTGATTATATACCTTTGTCTTCCTTCCTCGAAAACTTTCATACCCTTGGTTTCTTGCTCTCTAATCCTCCCAACTAGAAGAAATAAATCCACTTTTTGACTTCCCACTGGGATTTACATGTGTGAGGATGGATTCTTGGGTTAGCCATTTAGAGCTAGTATGCCAGACAAGTGAAGGATGGGTGGGAAGATATTTGGGGCCAAGGAAAACATTTTAGTTTCATGAAATCCTGCCATGATTTTGCCTACACTTAAATCAGTTCTGGGTGTTGAAAGCAACCTTGCCCTCCTACCACCCGGAAATTAGGTTGCAGTGTAAGCCACTTCTATGAAGTGAAAAGGCTGTTGCCATCTGTGCATCTACATCCAACGACCTTACATAGACAAACAGCCACATCAACTGTTCTCACCTCCCAGGGAAAATGGTATCATAGCAGAGGGACTGTGAATCCATTGTATAATTAACATTGTATATGAACAGAATCAAAATATTTATTCAAAATAAAAATATCTTACCCGTATAGGTATTATGTGCTATACTTCAAATGCTCATGGAACCAATTGTGCTCAATAAAATACTAATCGTTTTTTCCTTCTTTCCAACTTTTATTTTGGGTTCAAGGGGTACATGTGCAAGTTTATCACCTGGGTAAATTGCACGTTGCTGGGATTTGGTGTACAGATAACTTTGTCACCAAAGCAATTAGCATAATACCTGATAGACAGTTTTCCAGTCCTCACCCTCCTCCCTCCCTCCACCCTCAAGTAGGTCCCAGTGTCTACTATTCCCTCATTTGTGTCCATGTATACTCAGTGTTTAGCTCCCATTTATAAGAGAAGATGTGGTATTTGGTTTTCTGTTTCTGTCTTAATATGCTTCGGATAATGACTTCCAGCTCCATCTGAGTTGCTGCAAAGGACATGACCTCACTGTTTTTTATGGCTGCGTAGTCTTCCATGGTGTATATGTACCACATTTTCTTTATCCAGTCCACCATTGATGGGCATCTGGGTTGCTTCTATGCCTTTGATATTGAAACACAAATCTTTAAAAGTAACATTGAATCTATACTTGCTTTCTGCCAATATGTGTTTCTCTCAAGTGATAGATACTAAATGTGCAATTACTGTGAGGAAGGGGTTACTAGAATTGTTGCCATTACAAGTCTACAAACTTGTAGAAACTTGATAGATATGTGATCAGTAAGGGTCCAGAGGAGGCAAAACTGAGCAGCTTCAGACCCTGGAGGTTCCAACTTTGAATTAACCCAACTTTTAATTCAGATGGAAGAAGAAAATTCCAAAGATGGGGAGATGGAAAAAAAGGTCTGAAGAACCAGATCCTGCTGTCAGTTCTGCCATTTCTTTGACCAACTCATTCTTCCCCTCAACCGTGTTTCCCTTTCCCTCTAAAGCGGGCCAGGAACACTGCTTGCTGCAGTTTCAGAATCAGAAATTTTCCTTCTGAGCTCTCATACACTCCATAGGAAAACAGCTTATTGAAATTAACCATATTTTTAAATTTCTCTCAGTACAGGGAACCCCTTGAGGTCAGACTCCACATTTCTTTCATCTTTAATAGCCACTGCTGAGTGGAGTGTTTGGTTCATGATGGGTGATCAGTGAATCTTTATTTAATTGAATTACTATGAGGGTAAAAACCAAATGGAAAATATATGTAAAAGTGGTTCGTAAAGTATGAAAAGTATACAAAAGTAAGATATTGTTAGTAGAATTATTCTTAATTTACTCATCCTTCTTTCATTTACTCTACAAATACTTACTTTTCTAGGTAGCAAGCAGAGAATAAACAGAGGAAAAAAACATCAATTCATTCAACAGCAATTGCAAACACCAGAGTCATTGCTCTGTTATGTAATTAAAGAACGAGCAGAAATTTTGGTCCAGAAACTGAAACTAGGAACGTAAAAAGACCCTCTGACTTGGCTGAGGGGTATCTCAGCAAGAAAGAAAGACACTTTCAGAAAGCCAGAGAAAGGGGTGCCTTGTTTAGGAAGGAGTTAACTTGGGGTAAGAGGAGGTCACAAGGAGACCCAACGGGCTGGCAAGCAAGCCACATCTCCCAAGCTCCAGATGAGCCTACCTCATTCATTTCCACATAGTGGATTTTTTAAATGCTCGACATGTGTGATAAATTAGTAGTTTTATTGTTTTCAAGTAAGTGTAGCTATGAATAAACTCCTGATTGTAGCTTATATATTACAAATTGGGAAATAGAGTTTGGTAAATTAAAGTGTATTTACAGAAACAATGTGTCAGAACAACTTAAACTGGGGATACTTTAGAAAATTCTGCGTAGGAGAAAGCTAAGGGAACACCATGATCCTGAGGTCAAAGTAACTGGAAGATTTTTTAAATTTCCAGCTATAGTTGGAGGAGGGAGGACAGTGGAACTGATATTTGACTCCAAAGGCAGCATGGGACATAATAGACTTTCAAGAATTTTATACCCACATGTATGTGAATGTAATATAATGTTCATATTTTATGTAATGTACAATATAATATATATGTGTGTAAAATAGGATATATAATGACTGAATAAATGAATTGACTAAGTTTATTACAATCCCTTGCCTTTAGGCAAATGAATATTTCTAACCATACAGGAGCAAAGTTTTTTTTATCTTTCTAAAACTCTGAGTGTTTCCTCTCTGGAAACCACATAATTCCTCATTAGTGGAGATTTATCTTGTTTTAATTTCCCTCTGTTTCATCTTTCTCTGATGCAAAGATACCTGATGAATTGCACTCTCACAGTGTCCACCTTATAGTCAATGTGCTACTCAGGTGTCATCTCATCAGGAAGCCGTCATTCAGCCCCTGCCTGGTCTCAGTGTTGCTCTCCTGTATGCTCATAAAACCTTCTGTGAATCCACTGTTGCACTTTCCCTACTGTGCTGGAAACAGCTATTTATCACTCTTTCCTTCCTTAGGCCAAGAGCTTTGTCAGGCGAAGAACCATTTATGCCTTTTTTACCTTCTTACCCTCTACCTGTTCCAGTGCCTGACATACACAGCCTACTCAATATTGATGAAATGAATGAATGGATGAATAATCATACAAGGACCCAGCCCTCCCCACAACACTCACACACACATTAAAAAACAATCAGTTTGTTTTTGGTAAGTTTTGCTTCTTCCCTTGATTCCATGTAGCCCAAGCACTTATGGTGCATACACTCAGCAATGGTGCATACTGTGATAGAGAAGCACGCCCCGAACATGCACACACATGCACACATATGTACACACATACACATCCATGCACATATACTGGGACTGGATACTACCTCTTGATCAGAGAGCACTTCTTGGCTACTCTTCCTTAAATGTAAAGCACATGCACTTCCCTTTACTGAAAGCTCTGGGCTACTCTCAGAGTTCTTACGGCTGCCAGGGGATGTAGGGAACACTTCCATGGTGGCCCATAAGAGCTTTGGGCCAGACAGTGCAGCACTGAGGGCTCACTGTAGTTATTGCTCAGAGGAAAAAAACTAAAGAAACTCAACAGTGGTCTTCCCACTCACTGGAGGTCTCCCTCCCCACGGAACTGCTCGATGGAGGCAGGCCAGGTCCCTCCGGGCCCCAGGCTCATCACTGTGCCTTGCAAAGACCTTTCAGCCTCTGCATCTGCCCCTGTAGCACTGTTTTAACTGTCTCATTGCGGAAGGTAAGGATAAAGGGATTGAGGAAGGGGGTGAGAACTGAAGTCACCAAGGCCACGACCTTCCTGACTTGCACAGAGTGAGCTTTGCCAGGCCTGACATACAGAAAGATAGTACTACTGTAGCCAATGAAGACCAGTGTGAGGTGAGACCCGCAGGTGGAGAAAGTCTTCCGGCGGCTGCTGGCAGAGGGGATCCGCAGCACGGTGGTCACTATGTAGCCATAGGAGATGAGGGTCACCAGGAAGGAGCTGAGGACAAAGGCCAAGGCCATCAGAAAGTCCCAGAATTCCAATAGGCGAGTGTCAGAGCAGGACAACTGCAGGAGAGGTGCACTGTCACAGAAGAAGTGGTTAATGACGTTGCCATGGCAGTAATCAAGATGAGCTCGGGAGAGGACAGTAGGTACCATGGCTAGGAAAGGAGCTGACCAGGCAGCCCCAGCCAGCTGGACACACACAGCCCGGCTCATCAGAGTGCCATAGCGCAGTGGGTGGCAGATGGCCACAAAGCGGTCAAGGGCCATGTCTGTCAGGATGAGGAAGGAGGTGGAACCCAGGGAAAAGTAGAAGTAGAACTGGACCATGCAGCCAGTGAAGGTAATGACTTTGTGGGGGACCAGCAGGTCTGAGAGCATCCTGGGCACTGCAGTCATGGTTACCAAGATCTCCAGCAGGGAAAAATTGGCCAGGAAGAAGTACATGGGTGTATGTAGGTGGGTGTCAGCTATGACCATAACTATAATGATGGTGTTTCCCATGAAGGCAAGAAGATAAAGCATGAGGAAGGGGCCATACAGAAGAGCCTGCAGCTCACCGAAGGAGGAGAAGCCCGAGAGGACAAATTCGGAGGGCTGGCTCAAATTTGCCATGATCCACAGGCTAGGGCCCTGCATGCAAGGGAAACAAAAGACAGATGGAGAGGCAGAAACAGAGAGATAGAGACAGAGAACCACTGACCTTGAAACAGAAGAAACAGGGACAGAGACAGAGAATAGAGAGAGCAAGGCAAGTAGCCAGCGGGTGATAAACAGATGAGCAGAAAGAAAAAGCAATAAAGATAACAATGGAATAGGAGAGTCATAGAGAAACAGAGTGAGGGTATCAGCGAAGCAAAAGACATAGAAAGCCATTATTAAGAAGAGAGAAGGCTGGGGATGGTGGCTCATGCCTGTAATCTCAGCACTTTGGGAGGCTGAGGTAGGAGGATCACCTGAGGTCAGGAGTTCAAGACCAGCCTGGCCAACATGGTGAAACCCTGTCTCTACTAAAAATACAAAAATAAGCCAGGTGCAGGCGCCTGTAATCTCAGCTACCTGCAAAGCTGAGGCACGAGAATTGCTTGAACCTGGGAGGTGGAAGTTGCAGTGAGCCGAAGTCGTGCCACTGCACTCCACCCTGCGTGACAGAGCAAGACTTCATCTCAGAAAAAAAAAAAAAAGAAGAAGAAAGAAAAACAGAGGAGTGGATTAAGGAAGACCACATGGCAACAGACATTGACATTTAGGGAGAAAACAAGAAGAAAACAACAGAGGAACAGAAAGAACAGAAAAAAAATTCAAATAAGAGAGAGGGAGAAATAGAGAAATACAGAAAGGGGAGGAACACAGAAAAAAGAGAGGAGGGAGAGAAAGCATTAGTGCATGTGACCCAGAACCCCCCGAACGCAGGCTGATCCGTCTGTGTCACACCCAGAGATTGTGCCCCAAGACCCCGTTTAAAGGCTCCCTGCGAACCTTTCTGAGCTGCCTCTCTGAGGAGCCTCACTTGTGCACATTTCTCCAGCTGTGATCATGAAATTGGTGAAAGTCAGAGTTTTGAGTCCAGAAATTAGTGTCTTTTAGAGTGGGCCTCTGCTTCGTGTTTGCAAAGATGGAGAGCAGAAAGGGTGCTGGAGGTCAGGGAGCAAGGCCTGGAAATCCTAGTAACTGCTCTCCCGGGACACACACAGTCATCAGGTTTCCCAAGGGCGTCAGCGGTGGTCTACCCAAGGGCGCTGCTTTGCTGTCTCCACTGCACTTCCCCTCCCCTCGTGGTGCAAAGCGTAAGCTATAGAGTTGGCCTGCCTGTGTTTGAATTCTGGCTCTAGACTTGCTTGTCACGGGCCATAAATCTGCTCTTCTTTGTTACTTACTCTCTCTGAACCCGTTTTCTCAGCTATAAAATAAAGGTATTACTGGTACTTAGCCTCTATGGTGATTATAAAATTAAATAAGTAAACTACTTAGTGCAGTGACTGGCACATACTAGCCAACAAATCGTTGTTGTTATTGTTATCACTGTTCTTATTGTTACGACCGTCAATAGAACTCACATTTTTTTGACCCATCGTCTCTCTACACTTCTCGTTGCCAGCATGTGCGTGTGTGTGAAGATCTTTACAGCTTTACACTGTTTCTTGGAATTTCAATTCACCAAAAGGGTACTTTAAAACATTTCAAACACAAGCAAACATAAGTATTTACAACACAAACTGTCAGGAGTGGAAGGAGTGAAGCTGTGTATAGATCTACTCTGGCCCTTTCTCCAGCCCCATAAAAGCTTCATCTGGGGCTGTGTCCTGGCCATCCAGCAATGACATTCTAATTTTCAAAAGCCTTGCACCCGGCCGAGTGTGGTAGCTCACACTTGTAATCCCAGCACTTTGGGAGGCTGAGGCGAGTGGATCACGAGGTCAGGAGTTCAAGACCAGCCTGGCCAACACAGTGAAACCCCATCTCTACTAAAAATACAAAAATTAGCTGGGCATGGTGGTGGGCACCTGTAATCCCAGCTACTTCGGAGGCTGAGGTAGGAGAAGCACTTGAACCTGGGATGTGGGGTTGCAGTGAGCTGAGATCGTGCCAATGCACTCCAGCCTGGATGACAAAGCTAGACTCCATCTCGAAAACAATAAATAAATAAATAAATATAAATAAATAAAAAGCCTTGCACTCATGCCACTGACAAACCTTAACGGTAGGTCTAAAATCTACCCCAGCACTGACTAAATTCAAACCCAGTCCTTATGTCTGTATTTCATGAGATCCTGACTGACATACAGACTTCCCCCACTCACCTTAGCCTCTAAGCCTGGTGTCTTCTTTGTAAGCTGCTCTCATTTAGGCATTCATAGCTGTTGACACCTGCCTAGTGGCTTCGCTCTGTAATGTGCGTGACATCAGAGATGCAGTCTCTCCCTCGGGTTGTGTCTTGCGGCTGGGAAGGGTGGACAGGAGCGTTGTGCACAGCTGGGAAGAGGTGGCACTGCTGGGTGAACTAAAACACTGCCAGTCCTTATGCTGATTTTCTAATTCAGCACCTACCCTGTGTCACTACAAAGCCAGGGGCGGCAGCATTGATGTGGGGCTGGGAGATGGGAAAGAAGACCTTCAGGAGACCAGAGGGGAAAGGTGTTGATTCTGTCCCTTCTCTCTCAAGGATGAGTGTTTTCAGCTCTTTCTCTCATCCACATCTCCAAGTCCTTCGTGTCTTGATGATGTTTACAGCTGAGCTTACTGGATGGGAAACTTAGACTCCAGCAGTGTTTTCTCTGGGAGTGACAGGAAGCCAAGGAGCCCTCTGGGGACTTCTGAGGCACTGACGTTGCTCCTTAGAATAATGAGATGTCCTCTGTTTTGAGGGAAAAGATCTGAATAAAGAAATGGATAAAGACCTAGATACACCCAAGCAGCCGATGGCTTAGGATCGGCACCTTGGCAATGCCTGTCTCCTGGCCCCTTGCCCTCCTCCTAGGACCGTGGAAAAAAGATGAGATCATGGAACAAACACAAAGGAATTTTCCCAGCCGGACTAAAATTATGACAGCCTGGGCACCTAGCCAGGGCTGGATCCAGAGTTTCCATTTGCAGACAAAATCTCCAAGTGGATCCAGGATTCAGGGATCTAGGGAGGCAGGGAATGGAGGCCCTGGACCATAGCAGCCTCTTGTTAAAATTCTCCAAAGAAAGTATCATCTGGAGAAGTCTGGGAATCAAACAGTGAGATTAAGAGGCAGATCTCTGCCTCCAGAGGCAGGGCCCTTGGTGGACACATCTTGGGATCTGGCTCCTGTGAGAAAATACACACCCTGGGCACAAAGGAAAAGGGAACATGGTGAGGCCACTCCGAGCTTCCAGCTCCCTAGTAAACTCCGAGTCACAGTCTTTCATCTCATAGACATTTAAACCTTATGCATGATACCCAGTGCAACCCCACCCACACTGAGACAGAAATAATGACTCAAAGATTTCAAGGAAAAGCTGTACAATGAAGATAGTGCAGTGGGGCCCTGAGTTTAAGAATAACTAGGGCTGGAGGGGTTGGCTGGGCAATCTTTCTGTAGGACTTGAGCCTGGAACTGAGATTTGGACCTGACCCATTGAAAGCAAAGAAGAGGCTGGGCACAGTGGCTCATGCCTATAATCCTAGCACTTTGAGAGGCCAAGGTGGGTGGATCACTGGAGGTCATGAGTTCAAGACCAGCCTGGTCAACATGGTGAAACCCCGTCTCTAATAAAAATGCAAAAAATTAGCCAGGCATGGTGGTAGACACCTGTAATCCCAGCTAACCGGGAGGCTGAGGCAGGAGAATTGCTTGAGCCCAGGAGGTGGAGGTTGCAGTGAGTTGATACCGTGCCACTGTGCTCTGGCCTGGGTGGCAAAGCAAGACTTTGTCTCAAAACAAAAACAAAAAGAAAGAAAGTAAAGAAGAATGCAGGTCAAAAGGCTGGAAATGGAGGAGGAAGAAGAAAGGAGCCAGTTGCTAGCAGGGAGCTCAGGTAGGCAGACAGTGCTGGCCAGAGCAGGGCTGGAGGCAGGGGCTCGGGAATTGAAAGGCAGGAGGATAGGTCAGGGCTACATGAGCCTTCGTGACTATTCATTTTCTATTGCTTCTGTAGCCAATTACCACAAATTTTGTAGCTTAAACAACACAGATGTATTACCTGACAAATTCTACAGGTCAGTAACTTGACACAGGCCTCAATGAGCTGAAATCAAGGCGTCATCAGGGCTGCCTTCCTTTCTGGAGTCTCCTTGCTTTTCCAGCTCCTAGAAGCTGCCTACATTTCTTGGCTAATGGTTCCCTCGTCCATCTTCAAAGCCAGCCACATGTGTCTCTCGGAACCGTCTTCTGTCATCACTTAGCCCTCTGACTGAACTCAGAGGAAAAGTTTCTCCACTTTTACAAATCCCTAAGATTAGATTCAGCCCACGTGGGTCACCCCTAAGATTAGATTCAGCCCACCTGGATTGCCCAGGCTAATCCCCTCATCTCAAGGTCTTCAACCCAATCACACCTGCAAAGTCCCTTTTCCTATGTAAAGCAACATTTTCACAAATTCCAAGGATTAGGGCTTGGACATCTTTGAGGGAACATTCCTCTGCCTATCGCAATGACTACGTGCAGCTTTGGTGCCTGGTGAACCACTTATCTGACCAGATCCATTCATCTTTACACAGTTGTGTCCATTCCTTAATAAATATGTAGCATCAACTCTGTTAAATGATCATAACCTAGAGCAGCCTCCATAATCTAGGCGCATAACCCTAAATCTGTCCTTATTTCCTTTGGGATTGAAGGCACATGGAGCAATGTTAATTCTTGTTTCCTTTCTAGCCTTCCCTAAGAGAAAGAGCTAGGATTGAAACAGTGAGGGCAACTACTCTAGTGCTACTAAATTCTGTCCCCTGGGCTTCCCAGGCTTTGAAGAACCGCCCCATTTCCTTTTGGTTAACTTCTTCTGTCACTTGATGAGATTAATGGGAAATGCAGTCATTTACATGGTTGAGTTGATGAAGTTTTCAGTCTCCCAGGGATTTCTTCCTTAGTCAACTCTTCATCTTTTCACAGTCTGTTAATGGGCATTTTCATTGTTATTGCTTCTTTGATCCAGATTGATTCCTACTCCAGTATCCCTTCAGCCTCTGCCCTAAAAATAATCCTCCACTCATGCCTCCCATTTCAGCTGTGTAGTGATTGACTATGACAGCTGCTTGTTTCTCTATATGAAACCCAAGCAAATGCGGGCAGCAGAATAAAACAAGATAGTTTTCCTGTTTATTTTCATGTTGACTCCCTTTCTGAACCTTCTTACAGGTCAGATTTACTGACTTTAATCGGTTTTAGGTGGGCCACTCCTTGTGGATTCTAAGGTAATCTGGAAAACACTAACAAATATCTAAGCTAAAGCATCTTTATTTTCATCA